ATGGGTAACATTTTTGTTTGGGTGCAGCAATACAATTTATGCATAGTCACCAGTGACCAGTCTTAATCATAAGTGATCAATTCATGTAATCATGTATGATTTGTTCCTGTGCTTGTGAACATTATTAAATGATAATAGCCAAGTTCTGATCAATCATGATCACTGTTAAGGACTGATCCAGGATCAGCTTTCCCTCCCTCTCTGTACTGTGTCCTGGCTCAGGCATCGGAGGGGAAAGGCAACATCAGCTTGTCTGAACTACAGACACAATATGTAACAGTTAATAAGGGAACTACTGATGATTGCAAAACCGCTTAATAAAGAGTTCATGAGCACTGTTTTGTGAGACCCAGTCTGTAGTATTTTGTACAGGCACGCCGTATGGGTTGACAGGAATGTGTGGTTAGGATCTCAGAGGGGCGCTCACGAGCTGCAGCGAGTGTGTTTTCTGCTGTTAGTGTGTGTTCTGCTGGGAGGGGAGGGAGTAGGTGGGACACACAGCAGAGTAAGGACACTGCTTGGGAGACAAGGAAAAGTACAGGTGTGTGTGTGTGTGTGGGGGTGGTGGGGGATGGGGGTGGGTGTTGGGGGTGTCTGGGCTGCGGGTCTGTCCGGATGAAGGATGGAGTTTGCTGACTAAAGAAAGAGTAACCTGGCCCCGCGCCAGCCAGACAGATTAAGGGGGAACAAAACGGCCGTGGAGTTGGGAGCTCTGACACTAACGGCCTACTTACTGCCTGCTGCTGCACTGCCAACTCACACACTCTCACACACACACACACACACACACTCACACACACACTCACACACACACACACACACACACACACACACACACACACACACACACACACACACTCACACACACACACACACACACACACACACACACACACACACACAACACACACACTCACACACACACACTCACACACACACACACACACACACACACTCACAAACACTCACACACACTCACACACTCACACACACTCACGCACACACACACACACACACACTCACACACACACCCTCACACACACGCACACACACACACAGTCACGCACAAACACTCACACACACTCACACAAACACACACACACACACACCCACGCTCACACTCACACACACACACACACACACACACACATGCACACATAAACACACACACCACACACATAAACACACACACACACACACACACACACACACACACACACACACATGCACAAACACACATCACACACATACACATTCACAGACTCAGTGCTAAGAGCTCACACATTATAGTTTAAATGGGCATACATTTTTTAGATACGCATGTTAAGATTTGTAAATAGCGTATGTGTCTGTCTGACAACAAGGGCTGTGAATAACATTTGCACGTACAAAACAAACAAACAAGCAAGCATGCAGCATTCTCCCATGGTTACGAAGCAAAGCTCAGCAGCAGCTTGGCTCTCCCCTCTGACAGCCCCGTCTTTTGTAGGCCCCTCACCACTCGCCTGTAAACACTGCCTGTGCTACAGAGCACAGAGACCAGCAGGCTGTTATTCCCCACCCATAATACCTGTGCATTACCTGTGTGTTACCCTCGTATTACAGGTGCTCTGCAGCCTTCAACAAGGTAAAGACACCTCTTCTCTGATTCCGATTTCGGACATATCACCCATGTGATGGTTTGAGCTGTTGGCTGATATTTCTTAAATCAGAATAAGAGTCCTCTGAACGGTGTTTAATGGTGCAGCGCACCATTAAATACACAGGTAACACACAGGTAATACACAGGTACTACACAGGTAACACACAGGTATTACACAGGTACTACACAGGTAACACACAGGTATTACACAGGTAATACACAGGTACTACACAGGTAATACACAGTCCACTATGTGTTCCACATCAATGAAAGTAACATCTGCCAATTAGACAAGTAAGTTTATAAAATATGCCACAGTCATTATAGCAGGGTTTGAATATGTATGCTGTTACAGAGTGAAATTTACACACTACGACAAAAGGGTGGGGCGTAGATGGTGCTCCCTTTAGTAGTCAGATCAACAATTCTGTCATGCCTGGGTGTGTATTTTGTTTTTTCAGTCCCTGCCAACCACCCCCATCCCCCTGCCTTTGCACCAACTTAATTGTGCCAGTTATTAAATTACAAAAGTAGATGTGCATCAGAGTCCACTCCTTTTTACCACCAATCTCCAACTGCCCATGCGCTGGGACACAGACTGGCAGAGAAGAGAGAGGGAAGCTCAGAGCAACTACATGGGCAGATAGAGAGATTAACAGATATGGGTTAGAATAGATATACAGATATACACTACCACACTGAGAAGAGTATACATCTCCAAGAGAGTAACGGTCTCTCCCTTGGGCCTGACTAAGATCTCTTTGTAGAAACGGACACTATTCAGAAACGGAGAAACAAAGAATTGCTTAACGCTGTGCAAATAGCAAGAGACATGACTGTCAGGATAGCAGATGGTAACATTAAGCTCAGCTGGTAGTACCTCTGGTCTTGATTCTGTGCTGAAGATGACAACGAACTCGTTAATTGCTGCCTTTTTTAAAACATGTGCTGCTAAACAGGATTAACACTAGTGGTAAGATATGTGAGTTTTCCCAGTAGACTTAAACCGGTCCAGCGCTGCTGTTGCTGTCGCTGTTTTACATCCATTATGTGGGCTTGTGTGTTTGTCATGAGCAGTACACATAATGTTCTCCCAAAGTCTACAGTAGACTTTATATAGATGCATGGATGCATTTCTAGTGCCTCTGTGATATTTACTGCACCAGATCTACAGCAAATACCCAACCCAGCCCCATTCATTCCTCACATCTGGCTAGTCTGATCATTACATTACATTATATTACATTAATGGCATTTGTTAGATGTTCTTATCCAAAGCGAATTACAAGGCAAAGTGTATAAGAAACGTACAAAATGTACCAAGTGCCAAAGGTGACAGAATAGATCAGGACTCCCCAACAGACTATCTCAAGATAAAGTTAACAATAACAGCCTAGGTTAAAAACAAATTACAGTAAAAAAACAAGAGCAAAAAGGGTAAAGACAAGGGGGGGGGAGAGGTGCAGTCTGAAGAGGTGAGTCTTCAGTCTGAGCTTGAAGGTGGCCAGTGTCTCTGCTGTTCTGACCTCCACAGGAAGGTGATCACACAATGAAGGCAGCAGAGAGAGTGTCCATCTCAGCGTTGAGTTTGGATTTGGGTTTGGGAAAGTTGGTCTTGGTCTTGTTGTTTTGTCCACCTTGCCAGTGGAATCTTGCATCCCTTTAGATCGAGGAAGAGAAAGGCTTCGGCCCGCTCTGTGCCAGTTTGGTCCTCAGTGTAGAGCATCTTCAAAAAACGAGCCAACCTTGCGGTGATGTACGTCCGATCGAAATTAAATACACAACCGATCTCTCCTCAAGGGGTTGATGGAAAATGAGGCCACGAGTTGCGTGGGTGCCAAAGCCAAACCACTGTTCTCACTGGACACATAGTCATTTTATTTATATCTTTTAGAGGTGTCATGGTTTTCAGGTAGTATATATATTATCCATATGTTTTGCAGGTGGTCATGGTATATATATTATCCATATGTTTTACAGGTGGTCATGGTATATATATTATCCATATGTTTTCCACAGGTGGTCATGGTATATATATTATCCATATGTTTTGCAGGTGGTCATGGTCATATATATTATCCATATGTTTTACAGGTGGTCATGGTATATGGGCATGCTAATAGAGATGTTATTATCCATATGTTTTCTGTCATGGTATATATATTATCCATAGAGGTATATATATATTATCCATATGTTTTGCGGAGGTGAGTAAATATATTAGGATGTTTTACAGGTGGTCCTATGGGCATGCTAACAGAGATGGTATTCTGCCCAGAGGCAGCGGAAGCGAACCCTCATCAGCTTGCCCCTTCCGTTGCTCAGAAACACTGAACATACAGCCAATTCAGCCCAATTAAATTCAAGCTTTGCGGTGAGAGCACACAATGATTTTGTTCATTGTTAACGGTCAACTGGGGACATTCCTCTGATTCTGAGTAACACCACTGGTTGCCAGAAATCAAAATAGTGTTCACCTCAGCATATGTGAAACGGGAGGATTTTCCTAAGCACGGTTTGCTTGCTGTAAAGTTTCTTGCCAAGATCAGTTCGGGAGTAGGCCTTTGATTAGCATTGAGCATTGATGTTTGCTTTGGAAATGACACCACACTTGCTCAGCAGCACTAGGGCATGGATGGAGACTGGGGTATCCGCTGCTGTTGGCAGCGATCTGAACCGGTTTTGTTTTTCTGTGTTGCCAGAGATAGGCTCATTTATCTCCGCTTGCATTCTCGCGGTGACTGCTTGGGGTCACAGTCCCGTGAGAGGGCTGGATCGTGTCCCGAAAAAAAAACAAAACGCAGCTGCGTCTCCATCCAGTCGGCAATTGAGGTTGATGTCACATCCTCGGGGGAACATGTGCGCCCGAAGGGAACGCCATCTCGATCCGTGCCGCCTATCTAAGAGGAAGAAACCCAAAGCGTTCTCCACTGTGGCTACTTAAGTGGTGGCTAGTTGCAAATAGCCACTTTTGAAGAACACACCGTTGGAAATGGCTACAAGCCCGAACCCGTTTCCTTGCCTGCTTCCCCAGGGGGAAGGATCTATTGCCTCTCTTGTAGCCGTTTAGTACCCATTCTGTTCCTGCAGGTTCCTTCTCTTTCACTTGGAAAGTCTCCCACTGCTGCTCCGCCAGAGAATAAATGAACTCAGTGAAGTCCTTGAACGATGGTTCCTTGCCTACCAGGTGTTTCAGTGGGGCAGCAGTGTAGCATGATGGCTAGCTGTGTTGCATAATGGTTTTGGTTAGGATTAGCACTGCAGCATAATTCTTAAGGTTTGGTTTAGAAGTCTAGCCTAATGGTTAAGGTTAGGCTTAGCAGTGTAGCATAATGGTTCAGGAGCTGGGTTAGAGTTAGGGCTAGGAGTATAGTGGTTAGAGAGCTGGGCTTCCAACCCAGAGGTGGTGGGCTCAACTCCCAGGTAGACCACTGCTGTTGCATCCTTCAGCAAGACCAAACCCTAAACCTACATCTTCTTATTAACAGGGCTTGTTTATGGGTAAATGTAATTCCCAATATAAGACATACAGGTGGAAGAAGCCTACCAAACATCAATGGGCACCCAAGTACATCGATGACTGCTGACAGAGCATGTGTGTGTTTACATCTGAGAAACTGTGCCCAAGCTTGCCTGAGACACTTAGACATGCAGAAACACACACACACACACACACACACACACACACACGCACACACACTTCCTCATTCGTATAAGACCCTCCCCCTCCTTCCTCAGTAATCCACTGTGTAGGTGATCCAGCAGAATGCAGGAACACTCATTTGCTTGGGGATGAGGGAGAGTGAAAACGCTAAACAAACAGAACATCACGCTGTAGTTCTCTAATTCTGTTTGAGAGGCGGATTAGCTAGCACCATTTACCTGCCCTTCACACGCCTCTGCGGTAAGAGCGCCAGGAAAATGAAAAACGAAAAATTCAATTCCTACTTATCACACCCCCCTCCGCCACACAAACAAACAAACAAACAAACACACACACACACACGCTGTTTTTTAAGGCACAGCTAATCGTTTCGGAACTTTAAACTAAGAAGTATTTTTTTAAGAGAAGTCAAATCCAGGCTGTTGTGGTTAGATGGCCCTGCAGTTTTGGTATTAAAGAGTGAAGCTCTTTGCAAGGCCCAAACATCAAACACGGCTGTGCTAACACATTCCACCCTGCACCAACAACCGTTCCACAGCATCAAGGATAAACAGAATCTCCAGAACATTCCTAACCTTTAAAGAACAGAATCACAGACAATGCAGAGTTTGGCAAACCTTGTAACAGAATGGCACGTTGAGACTGGATTTTATAAAGAAATATCTTTGAAAACAACAATTTTTAAAAAACTTTTAAGACTATGAGTAGTCATCGAAAGCAATTGAGAGCTGAAAAAAAACATAAAAACAGTTGGGATTTCATGACCAATTAGAAATATTTGTTTGTGAATTCAGTGTAGAATAAGAAGAACATTAGAACATGAAAAAAGTGAAAGCCTACATTAATTTTACAGACATTCTGCCTCTAATTTAAGTCCTTGGAGCAGGTTGGTAGGTCATGAGGCTGGGAGGGATGCGGTTGCTGTGTACTCTGTGTACTCTTGTAGATTGGAGGTAAATTGCGAGCCTATCTGTGCTGAACGGCGTGCTTTCATCATTACGCGTTCTTATGTTCTCTTCACGCTCCTGTCCCGGGCCGCCGCCGACGGTAAATCTCGCAGAAAGCAGGCGAATTACGGCTCTTCTGCTCCACCCCCCTCCACAATGATTCCAGCATTGTCCGGGCGCCATGCCAACACCCCCGCCCCCATCACCACCCCCCCACCCACCCCAGGCCAAGGGCTCACAGAGAGGCAGCGGGGGGGGTGGTGGTGATGGGGGCGGGGGGGTGTTGGGACTGCATTGCTGTGGTTTCAGCTAAACGGACAGTCGCCACACGACCCAGTTAAAACACCACCTTGAATGATCCTCAACCCCCCACCAAGATCAGGTTAACCCTTTACAGCAGCCTCAAGCTCCATTGAAGACCCTCTTCACTCATTCTGAAGCTTTTTTTTCCATCCTGCAGTTTGAGAATGGAGCTGCACAGCGACCTGAGTTTGAAAAGCCAAACCAAATGTCAGCGAAGGTATGCGAAACTGGACCATTACTGTCGATTTCTTGACTTCCACCAAAAAGGAATTCCCATATGACGTATGTTCTGGTATAGGTACATATGTGCTGTAGCTAAAATTACATTGTTATTTTCCCAGCTAATTCAGCAAAATCGAATTAATTATTTGTCAGCTTCTGGTTAGCAGTTAGTGTTTCTATGGGTAAGACCAGGAGGTGTTTTATGGCTGCAGTGGAGCGCTAACCTTCCTGTGTCTCAGCTGATTAAAATTTAGCTCAATATGTATTATAAAAATTACAGTCATTGTGGGGTTACATTTTTTTAAAATTGGAATGTAATCTATTACAAGAATTGAGTACAACGCAATAAGTGAAGTGCTTAAATTGGCTCCTGAGGATGTGAGTGAATTATTTATGAGTTTATGAGTTTAGTTTTTGTTTGTTTTTTTTTATTGGTTTGTTTTTACACACGGCTGACACGGTTCAATTAAGGTAGGCAAAATATAAAAATGATAATAAACATCAGAACAGCCACAGAGGAGCAGCCACATCATTCTCTTTCTGACGGTGAAAAACCGTGATCGCGATCCCTCCCCAAAATATCACTCTAATAGCTTCCTGGGGATTTTCTGCCACGGTGCGGAAGCACACCTCTCTGTAAAAACAGCAGCACTGCCCCTCTAAACCGTACGCCCTGTCAGGTAGGGGGTTTGTGATGAATCATATTTTTACACCTCCAGGTGTGTGTAGAGTGCAAATCCCTTTCACTCTGCCCCCCCAAAAATCCCAAAAAAGAACATTCTAGAATGCCTGTGCACGTGCGTATGCGTGTGTGTGTGATTGTTGAGGAGAATTGTACATGATGTTTCTCGGCCTTTAAGCTGTAGAAAATCTAGGACTTTAGATACACTGTGACAGCGTTACTCAACAATCAGATATCTGCTCTGACCTTTACCTGGTCTGAAAGAGAAGCAAAGATTGTTGTGTGTGTGTGTGTGCGTGTGTGTGCGTGTGTGTGTGCGTGTGTGTGTGTGTGTGCGAGTGTGTGTGTGTGTGTGTGTGTGTGTGTGTGTGTGTGTGCGTGTGTGAGTGTGTGTGTGTGTGTGTGAGTGTGTGTATGTGTGCGTGCGTGTGTGTGTGTGCGAGTGTGTGCGTGTGTGTGAGTGTGTGTGCGTGTGTGTGAGTGTGTGTGCGTGTGTGTGTGTGTGTGTGTGAATACATGTGAGTGCGCAATTCCATATTGTACCACCCTTACAATGACTGTGTACATGTTACTGTGTGCACGTGTGTTTGTGTGTATGTGTGTGTGCGTGTGTGTGTGTGTGTGTGTGTGTGTGTGTGCTTGCATGTATGAAATCGTGCATGTCTGTGTGCATGTATGTGTGTGTGTGTGTGTGTGTGTGTGTGAATGTCTGCAGGGGATGATGGGAAACGTTTGATCCCCAGGAGAGATCAGAGGGTGGTTCAGTCATTCCCTTCACGTCTCGTCCTCCCTCCTCCCTCCTCCTCCTCCCTCCCCCCCTGCTCTGGGTGGAAGCCTCTCTTTGCTGTGAGGGGAGAGACTGAAGTAATACCCAGCATGCTCTGGGCCTGGCGGCGCTGGGGGGCTTAACCCCTTTTAGAATGCGGAATGCCATTCCGCGCATTCCCAACATTCCGCCTGCTTTACAATGGCCACCATCTAAACAATGAGTTTCATTACAATATCCTACACATTCTTAGAACATCACTGGTAGTCAAGGGTGCCAGTTTTTTTTTTTTTTTCTTAAAATACAATAACAGTAATCTTCACGCACAGTTGAGCTAAGACTGCCAAAATACACAGACAAAGAAACAATAGATGATTCTGATAATTTAAAAATCAAACTGCAAAGCCAAACAGTAATTTCCTCACTGCACTGATGCTCATTGCCTTGTCCTCATTGCAGTTCATTCATTTTGAGAAAAAAAAAAAATTGATTGTTTACAATATTTTCTCTTCAAGATACCAGCTGCAATCACGCAAAACCGGAACGAGTTCAACAGCTAATCTACTACAATGGCAAGAAACTAAATTAAAAAGAAAAACAGCATAAATGTAATACATGGCAGCCAAGACCCTTATGATAATTGGACCAGTGTGGCAAGACTTGCCTACATTGCATTAAGAGCACACTATAGTGCACTCAAGTTTGATTGTGATTTGTTTTTCAGACAAAACAATAAAATGGATAATTTTTTTGAAAATCTTTGTCTCATCTCTTTGTAAATCTTTTAAAGTGGCTCTGTTAAAAGTACTACAGGGTGCTCTGATACTTATTTTGCTCTGACTGGAGCCACAAAGCTTCAAAAGTATGATGTGTAATGAGACGCTAATTATGGAGAATTAGACACTTAGGGGTGATTCACTCTTGGAGACCACATTACATCGGGAGCAGATATGCGCGCTACAAGGACCGAACATCCCATAATCATTACAGACCTAACCAATCAGTCAGATCTGCCCTCCCCTAATGCAAAGCTCCCTCAGAAAGACACTGCGTTTAGTGGGGAAAGGTTATTAACTGACAGGGCGAGAGGTGAAATCGCTGCAGGAGACCTCAGCGCTGAACCAGTCAACGCCTCATCGCTGACACGCCGCTGTTTGTGGAGAGACGAATGGAGACAAGGAGCTCAACGTGCGCAGCAAATGGCCAATCCGCCACCCCTGTGCGGCATTAAAATGAGGTAAAGGACAAAGCCTGGGTTTGGTTCTCAAAACGTTTTCAGAATGTTGGGAAATGTTAGGGCGAACTTTCATGTTCCCAGTCAGACATACAGATAGGCAGACAGAAAGACAAATGAACTGACAGATAGAAAGGTAGCTATAAAGATACACAGACAGACAGATAGACATATAGATGGACAGAAAGGCAAACAGGCAGACAGACAGACACACAGACAGACAGACACACAGGCAGAGTGGAGAGGGGTAGAGAGGGAGAGAGGAGGGAGAGGAGAGAGGAGAGAGAGAGAGAGGAGAGAGGAGAGAGGGAGAGAGGAGAGAGAGAGAGAGAGGGAGAGAGAGAGGGAGAGGAAGAGGTGTAGCTGATCACACTCCTGAGGCAGGGCGCTGCAGGGAACTCTTATCTCTTGGCTCAGGGTTTGACAGTATGAGGTGTGTTTGGGTCCACAGGTCCGTCTCCGCTGGGCTGACACCTGAGTGTCCCGTTCCAACAGCACCTCCCACCTGAGCCTGACAATGACTGCATCAGAGAGCTCCGGCATGCCAGGGAATGCATTTAAAACATGACCGACCAATCAGAGAGCTCCGGCGCGCCAGGGAATGCATTTAAAA